GACGAGATGGGAAGACACCTGCACGAGTATCAGGACTTGCTCAATGTCAAGATGGCCCTGGACATTGAGATCGCCACCTACAGGAAACTTCTAGAAGGGGAGGAGAGCAGGTGAACACTTACACCTCTTTTACTGCATTACTGCATGACTTCTTTAAAGAGATACTATTGTTTTATGAATATGGTTTTATAAATTAATTCTACATTTTATTCTCTTGGATGTAGAATTGCTCCCCCTCTTCCAAACTTCTCCTCCTTCAGTCTGAGAGGTAAGACACCAAGTCATCAATACATAACACAATGGAAAAAAAATGTCCTTGTGCAGTTTAATTAAAAATGGCATTTTCACAGATATGATGCTCGAGTCCAAGCCTGTTACTGAAAATACATTTACTAAGAAAGTTCTTATTAAGACCATTGAGACCAGAGATGGCCAGGTATGTGCTTAACTTATCACTGCATTTTTACACACTCTTAGGGCTGGTTCCGACAGAACGCGTTTTTGCTTGGAAAAATGGCAGATGCGGGCAGTGGAATGGGGAAAAACCGCAAGGTCTGGGGATGCGTCTTTTAAAAGTTGAACTTGTTTTAACTTGAGTGCCGCATTTTTAAAACGCTGTCATGCGCGAGGCGCTGCGAAGGACGTGAGCGCAACGGTCAAACACGTCAGTCTAGTGCGTGTTTACATAGAAAAATAACGGAAAAGTAGCGCAGTGGAATCGGAAAATCAAAGCGTGTTCTGTCTGAACGGCCCCCTATTTTTATAAAGAAGTAAAACGTTTTAAAGCACTTTATTGAAAGTGTGAAAATCAGCAAAATGCTTACTATAGGTGTATCTCACAAAAACATGTCTTGATCGGAATTAAATAATTCAATTAAACAATATAAATAAATAAATGTTAATTGTCCTAATATATGCTTTACGTATTATGTTAAATATTAGTATTTTTTATCATTCAGTAAATTAAGCATATCACAGGATTAAGTTCATTATTTTATTCATGTTTTGTAATTCCCATTAATCTCTAATAATCTCTCTAATTTCCAATATTACATTTCTGTACTTTAAATAAACCTGAAATCAGTTTAAAAAAAATTATTTCAGTTCTCTCTGTAATGGACACTTCTGCTCTTCTCTTCTATTAAGGTGATCAATGAGTCCACTCAGAACCACGATGACCTGGAGTGATGGAGAGAAATCTCTTACCATTATCACCCACCAACTGGAGCACATTTTTTTGTATCCCATTCCCAACTAACTTAATCTAATGTGAACAACCCACAATAACCTGCTTCAAAGTGCCTTTTTATCTGCCTAAAAATATACCTTTCAAGTATTTGAGCCTGTAGAGGACCTGTAGTTCTGCTCAGAGTGAGAACACGTGACCTTTAGCGTACTGTGAATCGTTTCATTGTCTAAACCTGCTTTTATCTTCCACATAATGTGGCCTAAGGAAAATGCTTCAATAAAAATAATCAAAGAAGAGTTTGTACTCTTAAAGAGCCTCATACTTTGTCTGATTTTTCTTCCATGGAAATTAATTTTTTTTTAAAGTAAAAGACAGCCTTAATAACAAAAAATCTTGATTGTTCCTGAACTGGTTCTTGATTTGAAGCCCGTCACTGCCATCGTGTGGACATTTGTAAGAACAGAAAATACAAGTCAAAGTTGCATTCTCAAGTCTCAGATTTTGATATACCTTTTCAAAACAGGGTGTTTCTCTCTCCAAGGAGCATCCATCTTCTCTATTAGTGGTTCATGTGGGATAGCATGTGTTCCTGTCTGTTTGTTCCAGTGATGGAGACTTGTACTCCCTGGACATGAGTGTTCAAGCTCCTGTTCACTCCCATGTGTGGTGTCATATCTGAACAAATTTTTTTTTAAAGGAATAGCTCAGCTAGAAAGCAAAATCATTTACAAAATGATTTTCTTTCTTCCATGGAACACAAAAAAGGAAATTTTGAAGAATGCCCATGCTTCTTTTTAATTAAAGGACAGATGACTGTGACCAGAGGGCTGTCAAGCTCTAAAGAACAAGAAACATATCATAAATGTAGTCCATACAACTTGTGCACTAGCCTTTATATTTTTTTCCAAAATCATGCGATTGCTTTGTGCCATGTAATTTATGAATTCGATTTATGAATGAATTAAGATCTATGGTTAACATAGAGAATTTTCACATATTCATACCTTAAAGGTAGGGTAGGCAATTTTCGAGAAGCTAGCAATAGCAAGCTAGTTTAGAAAGCATAAGATCCCACCATCCCTCCAGAGCGTCTCCAAAGCACATGAACACGTACAGTAAGGATGAAACAAAAGCATCACAAGACGGCGTTAAATTACCTCATGTCTGAAAGCACATAACATTACAATATGTGTGTTCCACTTGCTGCGCAGACCAATCGGTGCATGCTATCAAAGTACCGCGAGAGCCAACGGCTCTGCTTTATGGCGCTTTTCCATTACCAGTACCAGCTCGACTCGACTCGATTTTTTAAAACTATAACGTGTCTCGAAAAAGGCGGTTGCTAACAAGCGGCTAAATGGGACTACAGAGGCTACCGGGGACATTAAACGTCATCAGAACGAACAGGTAAGCTCAGTTCGCTTTTATAATTGTGCTCCTATAAACTATTCTAACTCAAACTTTCTGGTCTAACTCTTAACTAGCTCAGTGATGGTGACGTTTAAGTCGTGGGACCGTGGTGTAGTTATTTTATATAGCCTACCTTTAGCTTTTTACTTCTGGCGACTGCATTTAGGCTTCAAAATTCCTAACATTTGTGTTCATCTGTGAAAATGATCTTGATGGACAAAACGTGTAAGTATCATAAACTTGTATTGATCACAGAGCTTGTTTTTTTTTTTTTGCAATAATCCGAAAGCCTATGGAACAATACTATTGGGTTTTGTAAAGGGAACCAGTGTGATGCTAACTGCGATTGGCCTACAAAGTGACGTCATACCTGCACCACTCCATTACCAACTTAAAGAGCTCTGACCTGTATCACCTGACTGCTGCAGATTCACTTCGTCACGGGTTTCCATCTCTTTCAAATGACAGTATGGTGTAAACACAGCATAAGCTCATTGTTTTGGTCCAGGTGGAACTGTAAAAGGCATAGACAGTATAAGAAGTGGATAGAGCCATCTCATTGGAACTCAGTTGAGAGTTGAAGCCCATTTTTAGCGATTTTTGAGCACTTCCGTTCCTGATGCGCAGACTCAAACCGACTCAAACTAAGCTTGATGACGTGAGCAACCTGTCTGACTGACGTAAATCTTCTGGTAGCTGTGCGTGAAAATGGCCAACGTTAATCTTGCAGAGACGGGGAACTTGAGCAAAGCGTTCTTTGGCGTGAGTGAGCAGGAGTAAGTATTCCGTTGCTTTTATGGACTCATTATCTATGGGCTTGTCCCTTGACGGGACGTCCCCCCGATTGCCTGCAAGCTTCTCCTCCTGTCTGTACGGTCATTTCAGTACAGCGCGACAGAGAGTCGAGTGGTTATGACGCAATCGTTAGCCTATTTTTACAAAAACTGTTTCTACGGGGCCATAATGTAACATAGGAGGTAATGGAGCCCTTTATACATTGTCGTGTTTCTTTAGAAATAAATAATGGACAAATGGAGTCTTTAAACGCCTCAGATGTAAAGTTATTCGTTGTCAAAGTGACGCCAAAATGAATGGGAGTCAATGGAAATGCTAACGCAAGTGAAGTTCTGCTACAAGATGGCGGCACCCGGCCGGCTTCAACTTCCGGTCGATGGATTACCCCCTTGGTAAAAGGTGACATTTTGTGGTTGCAGTGCTGGGTGACTGACCATGAAACACGCTGATGACGTGTGATGTCCGCGTGAGCTGGTGCACGGAAGAACGAAAATACATGTTGACAGGCAGTCGGTCCGATTGGACGAACACTTTATGGTCCTATCCTTCCACAGATGATATATAAAAAGTCTACATTTAGACCACTTAACATAGTGATTGCTATCATGTGAAGAGACAAAAAAAATTCTGGAACTAATCACCTACCCTTTACATTTTTATTTTTAATAGTTGCAAACAAATTGCTCTTGGTTTGGAACATGTTGGTCAACCACCAAACTGAACAGTAAATGACCAGCTTGGACTAAACCGACTCTGTAGGCTATTTTGAATCAGGGATGAAAAAGAAAATAATAACATAACATAGGCTACTCATGAAATTATGACATAATTTAGTATAGGCTAATTCTATTTTAACCCTTATTACTGAATTGTGTGGATCAGAAAATACTTTGTAGTAAACATACTGAATTAAAGTAAACGCACGGGGAGAACAAATTTACAAGATGAGCTAATGAGAAATATGAATTGCTTTGTCAATTTCCCCTTTATTTCTTATAACTTTAATTGTGAATGTAATTGCATATTCGTAGCTCGACAGTGTCGGATTTCATTAATGTAATACACTTGACAGACTAATTAAAGATGCTTGTTTTCAACGCTCGTGACCCCAGAGACTCGTGTTTGCCAAACTAACTTTATTCGTGTGACGACCGCGCGCATTCTCTCGGGAAAGCGCACAGGAGATTTCCGCTGGTTCCATCGCCTCCGTTTGACAAAATGACTCGCAAATAGACTGAACCGAATAAAAGAAGGTGGTTCATTATCCACGCTCAGAGGACACGGTTTGCTTTGTACCATAGTTCTATGAGGACGAGGCAGCAATGACAGTGTCTGAATCAAAGTCATGGAGTGTGTAACTGTCTTTCCCAAGCAGACGTTCAGTCAGCTGAAGGTTGTTCGGCAGAGATGGGCTCAGTGACCTCAGCTTTCACCAAGTCGCGCAACACGTTGGTCAAAGTGGGTTCGGAGCCGCAGAAAGAACCGGACGGGAAGCCGCGGACCGGGTCTGGTGTGATCGTCAAACAGACTAGCAAAGAACCGCTGGTGCAGAAAACAAACTGCACATCCAGAGCAAACACGCCACAGGTTCCTGCATCTGCCACAGGTGAGTTTAAGTTTCTGTCATGTTTCATATTCTTATGGAGGACTGTCTAGGGAGTGGATTAAGGCATATAAAGCTGAAATTGCTGGATTTCTATTGGTAGAATAGTTTTTTTTTTTTTTTTGTAGGCTCAAAAGTAGGCTAGTATTTGGAGTTGTAGCTCTAGTCTTAACAATAAAGTTCAGTAGCCTACATTAAATATCAAAATATCAAACCAAAATAAAGTGGCATCCTTCCAGGACATTTTTTTTTTGTTGTGCATTAAGTTATTCAGAATACAGTTCAAAATGACTATAGTGTTCTACTCTATTTAGCATGTTTTAAATTTCTGAATTTATATATATATATATATATATATATATATATATATATATATATGAAAGTTTATGGTTAGGTGGTGTAACTAAAAATCTTTTAAAGTCTGAAAATCTTGATTAAAAAAAAAGAGAAAAAGTGGTGATGCTATTTAGAATATTCAGAATACAGATCATACCAAAATGACTTAAATACATTCGATTTCTGTACATCAATACATCAAGTTTAAATGCATCAAATTTCAATTTCTGAATTTATATACATTTTTATATTTTTGTGGGGCTTAAAGTCAAAAATAGCAAGGAGCTGGTGTAACGTTTTCGGAGATTGGTGTGTAGGCTACTGTATATAGGCTTTTAAAGGTAGAAATTCCTTTAAAAATATTTTTTTTTAAAAATAGAAGAATTGAAAAATTTGTTTTAAAATTTTAATGTTAAAAACCCTTTCTCTGCTAAAAAAAAAAAGTAATAATAAAAGTCACTACCTGCTGTGTCCAAATATGGTTACTTCTATAAAATACAGTGGGCAAAAATTCAATGTCCAAATTCATAGTGTTCATACTCCTAGTAGATGAAAAGTAACCAAAATGACCTACTATTTCTGGTGAGATTCTGAAGGACACTTTATCTGAACACGCATCTGATGGACACTTTACTATCCCATGAGGCTACGGGAGAGAAGTTGTGAATGGCAGTGAAGCGACGCAATTGATATGGTAGGTCACATGATGGTGACAACATGGCGGATGTATGCCCTGGCCTCAATGGCACACGTTTTGAGCTTGAGGCTCTTGTGGACTTACATTGGCTGCCGTGTGAGTATATCCATTAAGTTCACAAGACCGTAGGGTGTCCCATTTGCCATTTTAGGTTTCAGAGAAGGGTGCTCGCGAACACACCCTTTGTGCCCGATATTAAGGGTGCTCCGATCAGGGTATTTGGGGCTGATCACTGGAAGCAGTATTGGGTAATAAAGATAAAGATCACAAATAAATGATACTACATGATAAATAGAAGGCTTCAAACAGACCCACTGGGGTTATTTAGCTATTCTTAACAACAATGTATTTTAAGTATAAAATAATTAAGAGAACAGCCTATCACTTTCACGGCGAAAAATTGTCTCAGGAGTTTTGTGTCATCTGATCGTTTTTTCTTATCGGCTTTTATAGAGAGAGACCACCGACCAAACTACATAAAGCTATTATCGGCCAATAACGACCGACACCCGATCAATCGGAGCGCCCTTAGCCGATATGCACCCTGATGCGCACTTTTGTCAAAGCGGTATTACGTCACGAAAGTGTGGACTCTGAGGAAGATTGTGAGGGCTCAGCGTTCCAGGGCCAAAAATTCATTCATACTACACACATTCATACTATATAGAACATGCTTTTTTTAATGGCAGTAAAGTAAGTTTCAAACCAAATGTACTACTACCTACTACTATACACAGTATGCGATTTTAGACGATCATGTCATATAATTAGCAAGCATGTCTAAATAATAACATGGCTGACACAATAAGGCATCTGACAAGTTCAACATAGTATAATATGTATTAATTGTATTCATACTACACAAGTGCATACTTGCAGAATGTACTTTATTAACAGACAAGAAGTAAGTCCTTCAACTGCAGTACATACTCTGACAGTACACAATTTCACACACAAGGTCTTTTTGACATTTACATTTATGTATTTAGCATACTAACAAAGCAACTTAGAAAAGAGGAACAACTTTGACCTTTTATGAAAGGGATGTTTTGGTCGTCAGACCAAACGGGGTAATCTAATCCAATGAAAATGTGTTAATATTCATGACTAAATACTTCCCGAGTCATGTTTGTAACAAATATATATATTTTTTTTCTGAAAATAATAACTATTAATAGTTATGTTTTGATATTTTAAAAATTTTAATGACATTCATATATTTGTAAGTGTAGCTGAGGTGTCCACATGCTCTGATTTCATCTGCCTCTATTAGGTAATTGTGGAATTTCAGCACATGCCTTTATGAGACGGGTGGGAAACAGGTGTCTGCTCATTTTGGGTCAAAACACGGGTGATAGCATCCATTTATCTGCACATTAGAGAGTTCAGGCACTTCTGTGGAACAGATGAGAAAAACGCTCCATAATGGGATGATCAATGATGCGCCGCCACAATTCTTTTGAAGGGTGCAGATCCGTGTTTTTTATGTCCGAACTCTTTGATGTTAGAATAACACTGCCTCCTGATGCTTTATAAAGCACAAGGGGTTTTCAGAGACGGACTTTTACACAAATCTAAAATGGACATAACCATTCAAGGTTTTTATTTTTATAATTGCTGTCTACTATTGAAAATGCCAGATAGCCTACATTTTTATTTAATAGATTTATTAGAAACACTATCATGCAAATGTTTGGGGTCTGAAAGAATTTAGTTGATTTTTGATCGAAATAATATATTTGATCAAAAATACAGTAAAACGTATGTAAGCAATAAGGTACGAGAGGCTGTGCTGTATCGTGAATAAGTAACGGCTGGAGGGCGTTGTTAGGCACGACGCGAAGCGGAGTGCCTGCAACCCCTTCAGCCGTTACTTATTCACGATACAGCACTTGCCTCGAGTACCTTATTGCTTTTATAAAACGGTTGCCACACAATAAAAATATTAAAGCCGAAAAATATGTATCTATGCAACTTTCATGAAGTAAAATCACTAAAAGCCTGCCTTCCGCTGGAAAAAATAGTCCCGGAACGTGAACAGCAACAGAAGTTACATATATTATTTCGCCAATAGATGGCGGCAAAGACTGTCTTTATGAGTGAGTGAGTGAGTGAGTCTGTAGAGAAGGCTTTTGAAAGGACTCGAACTTGTGATCACGGAGAAGACAGACGCAACTGACAGATGACTAACGTTATGCACGGAAAACCCCATGACTGTTAAAAGGACAAAATATGCAGCGGACATTCAAACGCATTTTTTTATTATGAATATAGGACTGACCTGAAGGAAAATGCTACGTCTACTGTAAATGCAGGTACACTCGCTTACTCGATCTCTCACAATGCTCTGCTCTAGCTTTAAATGAACAATATCAATGAGATGAAACATCTGTTTAAGTTGCTAAGAGTGGTTGCTAGGGGTGTTGTGTAGTGATACATAGAACCGTTGGGTGAAGCGGTCATAGCCGTGTTTTATCGTGAATAAAGCACAGCTATTGACCAATCAGAATCAAGGATTGGAACTAACCGTTTTATAATGTGAAATACTATTACAATTTAAAATAACTGTTTTGTATTTTAATATATTGTAAAATTTTATATATTCCTGTCATGGCAAAGCCAAATTTTCATCAGCCACATGATTATTATCTATGTTGAAAACAGGATTATTTGTGGAACTATTTTTGTGGAAACTGTGATACAGTTTTTCAGGATGTTTATGTATATATAATAAAAAGTTCAAAAGTTTAAAGTACAGCATTTATTTCAAATAGAACTCTTATAACATTAGAACTGTCTTTACTGTCACCTTTGATCAATTTAATGCATCTTTGCTGAATGAAAGTATTAAAGGGATACTCCACTTTTTTTGGAAATAGGCTCATTTTACAACCAAGGGGGTAATCCATCGACCGGAAGTTGAAGCCGGCCGGGTGCCGCCATCTTGTAGCAGAACTTCACTTGCGTTAGCATTTCCATTGACTCCCATTCATTTTGGCGTCACTTTGACAGCGAATAACTTTACATCTGAGGCGTTTAAAGACTCCATTTGTCCATTATTTATTTCTAAAGAAACATAGGGCTGTTTTATTTCTATTTCTATTTATTTCTAAAGAAACATGTATAAAGGGCTCCATTACCTCCTATGTAACATTTTGGCCCCGTAGAAACAGTTTTTGTAAAAATAGGATAACGATTACGTCATAGCCACTCGACTCTCTGTCGCGCTGTACTGAAATTACCGTACAGACAGGAGGAGAAGCTCGCAGGCAATCGGGGGGACGTCCCGTCAAGGGACAAGCCCATAGATAATGAGTCCATAAAAGCAACGGAATACTTACTCCTGCTCACTCACGCCAAAGAACTCTTTGCTCAAGTTCCTCGTCTCTGCAAGATTAACGTTGGCAATTTTCACGCACAGCTACTAGAAGATTAACGTCTGTCAGACAGGTTGCTCACGTCATCAAGCTTAGTTTGAGTCGGTTTGAGTCTGCGCGTCAGGAACGGAAGTGCTCAAAAATCGCTAAAAATGGGAGATGGTCCTCACTGCAGAACATGAAATCCACGGGGAGGAGTCGGATCCAGATCCAACTCCTCCCACCTTACATCTACCTAAACCTACCCATCTCCGCCCCCTGATCCCTAAACACACCCCTAATCCCTAAACCCACCCCTAATCCTACCCATCTCCACCCCTCGGATCTTGATCCGACTCCTCCCTGTGGATCTTATGTACTGCATTGAGGTGCTACTGAAAAATGGGCTTCAACTGTCTCAACTGAGTTCCAATGAGATCGCTTTGTCCACTTCTTATACTGTCTATGTTTACAACTCCCCCAGAGTTAAACTGTTGAGTTTTACCGTTTTTGAATCCATTCAGCCGATCTCCGGTTCTGGCGGTACCACTTTTAGCATAGCTTAGCATACATCATTGAAGTGGACAAGACCATTAGCATTTCTAAAAAAAAAA